CTCCTCTCTCGCCTTCCTCCATCCCCTCCCTTTCTGCCGCCCTTGCTGGGCTGCGCTGGGTTGGGCTGGGCTGGGCTGGGCCGGGCCTTCCTCCCTTCCTCCCTCCCTGGCTCCTCTCATCCCACCTAGTTTTAGCTGGGCTGGGCTGGGCTGGGCTGGGGCGGGAGGGCTGGGCTCCCTCCCTCCTCCCCGCCCTCCCAGGCCGTGGCCTGGGTCGGGCTGGGGCGGGTCGGGGTGGGCTGGACTGGGTTCCCTCCCCTTTCCCTCTTCCATGTCTTTGGGAATATCCAGCCGTGCCTACGATCAGCTTCTACCGCCGCTCCCCGAGTGCCTCCAGCGTCCTCTTGCTCAGGGGACCTCGGCCGGGCCGAAGTGGTGTCAAGCTGACAGCAGGTTTCATCCGGGCCTCCCCCCCTCCCCCTCCCCATGCATCCCAAGGCCGCGGGCGCAAGTCCCTTCCCCTTTCCCGAGAAGAGCAACCCACACTCGTCCCAGAGCCATGCCGCAGACAAGGGAGCCAGAGCGACTTCCTCATTCACGTGTCCTGGAATTCTGAATGCAGCACAGAACCGCGCTGCGCCTCTCTTTGCGGGCTGCGGCAAGCTCCGCGGAGAAGCTCACCCACCCTCCGCGGGCCCCTGTGACCGTACGCGCTACAACCACTCCGCGAAGGGGCAGTGGAAGGGAATGCAGCCGGAGCAGCAGCAGCAATGGATCGACGCCGAGGCCGCAGCGACGCGGCTGCCTCCGGGCGAGGTCACGCTGGAGGCGGCTTTGGGAACAGCAGAGACTTCTGAGCAGCCAGGCGGGAGCCCTGCAGCGGGTGCGACGCACGCTGAGGGCGGTGAGCTCCAAGGGAGCCGCCCCTGCCACGGCTGCGGAGACGCGGGCGTCGCCCTGTCCCTGGGCAGGGAGACCACAGCCAGATGTTCTACTGTGGAGGGGGCAGGAGGCAATGGCGCCAGTGGCACCCATGTACCCAGGCCGCAGGCTCCCCTGCAGCCAGTGAACACGGACGAAGCGCCGTGGAAGACGCACCGCACGCACTCCCAGGAGCCTCTGGCCACAGCCGAGCCTACTCCGCAGGAGCTGCAGAAGTCTGAGCAGGCCCCCCCCCCCCCCCCAGCAGCTGCAGGCTTTCCCCTTGCCCCCCTGCTCGGGGTGCGGGTCCAGCGAGGCCCCCTCGCGAGCTGAGGGACAGCGCTCGGGGGCGGCCTTTTGCACCAAGTACTGGGCCGCGTGGCGCGCCGAGAGCTCCCAGGCCAGCACGAATGCCCCGCAGCCCGGCGCTGTCGGGCACGCGGCCACAGCTGCGCGGCAGGCGGCCCTGGGTACGGTGACGCTCTTCCAGGAGTTCCTCTGGCTCGCCACCCTGGTGGCAGCGAGCGCTACCCTGCAGGACAGCATCCTCCCTACGCTGCCCTCCCGGGGGGCCACCTCCTGACAGACCGGGGCGTCTTGTACTGGGCCTGCACGGCGGGTGCGCGCCCTTTGATGGGCCCGGGGCCCAACTGGGACCACCTGCCCAAAAAGCGCAGTTTCGGAGGGGAAGTCTCCGATCGGCCGCTTGCTCCAGCTGGGCCCCAAGTCCGCGAAACGCTGGGCCAGCCACAGCTACTGGAAGAAGGGCCGTTCCGTTCCCATTGCGGGGGGGGCCACCGCCAGGGAGGAGGCGCTCCACCAGATGCGCACCTGGACGGCGCCGTGGAACAACGGCGTCCTCGTCTCCACGGAGACGACCCTGCTCTGCTGGCGTCCTCCTGGGGGAAAGGCCTGGGCGCCCCCTCCGAGTCCCGGCAGACTGGGCGTGCAAGTGGAAAGCGTCACCGCACACGGAGGCGCCCAAACACGCGGTGGTGGCGCATGGATCCCAGGCCGCGCGGGAAGCGGCCCGGCGCCCCCCCTGCTCCAGCTGCCACCGCATGGCCGCCCGCTGGTGCAGGTGGGTTTGCCACCAGACACAAATGGCTCGGCCTGCAGTGGCCCAGCGACCTTCTCCTCCGAGGGGCGCCTGAAGCGAGGATCGGCGCGGCTTCTGTCCAATGCGCCGCTCTGGTTGGCCACGTAGCGGCGGGCGCCCCCCCCTGCGGCCGCAGCGCGCATCTTCGACATGGAGTCGAAGCCTCACTGCGCTTCGGGAGGTGGCACCTGGCCACGGCCGAAGGAGCACTGACGCGCTTGGACTCCACGTACGAAGGCTGGGCCAAAACGTTCCTAGGGGGCCATCCTTGGCGCAGTGGTGACATGGCAATCTCTGAACTTGGATGGTCACTCGATT